TGTTCAGGTTTTCTATTTCTTCCTGTTCCAGTTTTGGTAGTTTGTGGCTTTCCAGGAATGCGTCCATTTCTTCTAGATTGCCTAATTTATTGGCGTAGAGCTGTTCATAATATGTTTTTAAAATCGTTTGTATTTCCTTGGTGTTGGTAGTGACCTCTCCTTTCTCATTCATGATTTTATTAATTTGAGTCTTCTCTCTCTTCTTTTTAATAAGGTTGGCTAATGGTTTATCTATCTTATTAATTCTTTCAAAGAACCAACTCCTGGTTCTGTTGATTCTCGCCTGCTTTCTTGTTGGGTTTTCCGAAAGGTGTTAATTCTTCAAGTACTTTTCAAATATTTCCCTAGTCAATGGAAGCATCACCCAAAGAATTCATATGTAATTTGACATGTAACAATTCCCCATCAGGAGAACATTTATACTGGCCGAGGCAGCCTTCCTTGGAGGGACACTGCACCCGAAATTCAACAACACAATCCCAGTGATTCAGGGATCAGGTCCTTTCCAGCATGTGGCTCTATCTCTTGCTATTATTTCTTTCCAGTTAAATTTCAACACTAGGCTACTTTGCACCTTAGCTTATTTTATGTCAATTGATCACTTTTCTAAAAAAGAGAGGGGGAAAAAAGAGAGAGTGAGAGGAATTTTAAAAAAAAAGAAAACAGCTGGCTTTATCACACAGACCCACATTTACTTAAAGCCAAAATGCAATAAATCAACTCATGAAAGAAATCACTGGGATTCTCAGCGTGGCTCTTGCTGTCCTCTTGCCCACCGTCCAGCACTGCACAGACAGCAGAGAGTTCCTCTACATTCTCACTGCTCAAGTCACCTGCATGACCCTGCACAAGGAGCAGCACATGTGGCCAGTGGGTCTGACCATGTGACCGCTGTGTGTGCAACAGCCTGGGTTGGGGGCCCAGAGCCAGTTTCTGAGTAGTGGAGGGGGCGAGGAGTCATTAGTGTAGAAGGCTGTGCAGGATTCCAGCGAGAAATGTCAGCTTTCCCAAGTGCAGCTGCTGAGCAGCTCAAAATGCTCTTGCAAATGTAATTCAGATCACCCCACAAATCCACACCTGGGATTCCAGGCACAAAAGGAATGTTAAGAACCATCATTAACGTTCCTTTTTGTATTTCCCTTATATGCATTTGCATTCGTGCTGAGGGTTGCTGAGCCTCGCTCCCTGGCTCAGACCTGGGAAGCCACCTCCCCTGTCCAGGGTTTCCCCCCATTGCTCTGGGGGCTCAGCTCCCCTTCTGCACACTCCCCTCCCCCTCCTCATTGGCCTCACCCTTCCTGCCTCTTGGGACTCCTACTCCAGTGGCTTCTGCTCCCCCAGTCTTTTTACTGGCTTTTTGGTTTCTCTCAATCCTCTGCCTGCCCCTGCCCCTGCCCCTGCCCCAGAGGCAGTTAAGCAGGAGGTCCAGCCTTACCTCCCACTCAATGCCCAGGGGAAACATTCTCCTCTCTCCTCTTTCAATCTCTGGCTGGGCCTAAGCATTAAACCAACACAGAATCCCAGGAGAAAAGCATACACATGTCCATGGGAGCCTAACTAAAGAATACAGATAGAGGGGACCAGAGCAGGAAACTTTCACAGTATAGACAAAGAAACAACCAATATGTGAAGAATTGGCAAGACAAAAGGGTCTGGACCATGGGTAATAGATGGTGAAGAAATGACTGGGAAGATGTGGGTTAGCTTAACAAGGTTTGTTTATACAGTCTTCTCAGCCCCAAATTCCCTGTCTCTGGTGATGAGTGTCTTCCATCCTCTTGGTACAGGAAGGGGACCTTTCACGTCAGAGATTTATCTCCAGCTTTCAGGAGAATGGGGGGCGGGGTCAGGGTGTCTTCTTGCACTAGCTGTTTTGTAACTTTAATTCAAAACAATTAATATGCCAAAGTGGTATGTTTTAGGGGTGACATATTCTGAACCCCATCCCCATCTTCCCATGGATACCCCTTGCCTGCGGCCACTGCCTCATCTACAGGGACACTTTATTTACAGGAACATCTCATCTACAGGGACACCTTAGAGGCCACCTTCCCACTTCACTCCCCAGGAGGCTTGGCTTTCTTTGTTTGATTCCATTTTTATTTGTTTTTAAAAGACACTTAATTAGTATATGCGTTGACACTTTCTCCTACACCAAACCCAAGCATTCAATTAACCGCATGCTGGTTCGTCATAGACGCCATACTCAAAAACTCCATCTTGACTTCTCTCCCTGCTCTTCCCCAAGCCAGTCCCCCACCCAGTGATGCTTCTTTCTGCTTCTCCGTGTCAGTATTACTGCTCATAAAATGAGAGAGAAGGCTGTGTTTGATAATAGACGCAAAATATATAATGGCTCAAACACGATCTTCTTCTTTCTTGTTTCTAGTCAAATGGCAGTTCTTTGCCATCAGCTTGGGTCCCAGGCCCCTCCACCACCTTCTGACTCCACCATCATTTTAAAAGGGTTAGGGGCATAAGAGGGGGGCACATCCTCTATTTAAGGCCTTGGACCAGAAGGACATACCAGCTCCAGACGGGCCAGGACTCTGCACTGGCTGTCCCCAATGCAAAGGAAACTGGGAAATGTGGCCCAGTCCTGAGTTAAAAAAAAAAAAAAAGAAAGAAAGAAAGAGGAAAAAACAATAATGAAGAAAGAATTTGAGAATCAACTGGCAGGCTCCCAGGACTATCCAGAGCACTTGCCTCTACTCACTCATTAACCAATCAGACAGGTTCCTCCAGGTCAAGATAAATGCCTGGATTTGAAGGTTACAGTCAAGCCAGAAAAAGCAAGAAAACAGCTTCAAATTAGGGAGCAGGAGGAGGGTCATGTATTTCCTCTGTGAGATTTGGAAGTGTGAAATATCACTGAAGACTGTTAAGAGTCAGCAAATCTGACAAGCCCTCTTCTTTGGGTTGGAGGGATGGAGGGACTGAGGGACACAAGGGTTCGGGGTGGCTCTGTACGGTCGGAGAGCTTACCATCCTGGGCAAGGTAAAACCAGGCATACACCAGGTCCACTTGGGCCCCTATGTCCTGCAATCAAAGCCTCCCCACCCTGGTGGGGTTGAGCCCAGAGTTCATCCCACATGAAGTCATATTTAGAGACTCCCAATCAGGGCAAAATTAGAAGAGCTCAGGCATGCCCACTCTGGGACACACACATCCCTGCTACCCAGGGGCACTGGCCTCTGCTTCCATCCAGAGCCCCAAACACCTCCTTCCCAGCCTGCCCTCAGCTGCTTCCCTTTGACTCCTGTCCTCTTTCTTTGTTGGAAAAAGAAAAAGAACAAGCAAAGTTTCTCTTTTACAAATGAAGGCTATTGAGGGCAGTGATCTAAAACTACAAGTTGTCAAACCAAACAGCAGGTTCTGCAGACTAGATGTTGTCTCTTCCTTGTGTTAAAATATAAAAACAGATCTATGGGATTGATTTTTAAAGAAACTAACCAACCATGAACAAGGTTAATCTATAAGTGAAGTTGGTACCACTCAGGTCCTCTCCACAACTATTTTCTTATTCAGGAAATGTTTTCTCAACAGACTATGTTACTCCTTTAACCCAGGGGAACACGCAGTTACTACCGCAGAGAAAATGCACGGCCGAGTCAAAGACTCAGAATGAAAGCCTGGGGAAAGAAACGGCTTATAAAACTTTTAGAAAGCTTTAAAATTATTGACAGAACAAGTAGTTTCATCCAGTGGCTTATGTGTTTACTAGCAGTGTCATTTCCAAGTTTCCCTTTGCACTCAGATTCTAGAAGAGTTTTCCTAATGCACTGTTAGCTAATGACTGTACCAACGCATGAGTCATGAAGGCCGTCGGGAAGGAAATAACCACAAGCCAAAACTGCAGATGTTACATGTTGAGGCAGAAACCAAATAAAACGTGTAACACATAGAAAGAGAGAGAACATTTCCCCCACAGCTTTTTTTTTTTTTTTAACCTTGGAATTAAATCAACCATTAGAGTGTAATGCGAGTGTACTTACCGACAAAAGCCAGATTTTTCATCTTTCGGCTCTGAAATTCCAGTAACAATTTAAAGAGCTCATTCAAGATTCTTGCCCTAAATATAAGGAGAGTACTATCACAGGCATAATTTAATACAAAGGAACATTTATTACATATCTGTTCCATGCAGGCACAGGGCACATACGTGGTTTCGTTCAACTTTGTAACAACCTATTTTGTAAATGTGGAAACTCAAGTTCCATGAATCCGGATGGTATATCAGTCTACTCAGGTGGCCATAACAGAATACCAGAGAGGGGGTGTGGGGCTGGAGGTTTAAAATTAAGACGCTGGCAGGATTCCTTTCTGGCCACCTTGCTTGAGTTGGAAGACTTCTCTTCCTGGTTTGCGGATAGTCACCTTCTCACTGTGTCCTTACGTAGCCTTCCCTGGTTCACACCCCTCTGTCTCTTCTTCTTCTTATAAGGACACCAGTTCTATTAGGGTTCCATTCTTGCTGTTAGTTATCTCCTTAAAGGCCCTATGTCCAAATACAATCACACTGGGGGTTAGGTCTTCCACACGGATCGGTGGGGCAGGCACAATTCAGCCCATAACGGATAGCAAGTCCAAGAGCCCACAATTGCTAAGTGACAGAAGCAAGACTGAATTGAAACATTTCTTTATCCAGCCTGTGCTGCCTCTCCCGTGTGATGGCATCTCAGATAGAGTGGGAAGACATCCCACGCAGGGGCTGACTCTTAGGACTTGCTGGAGGGAGACAGTTTCACAGCACTCAGCTCTGTCCCAGTGGAAAGGGTGGGGAAGTATCTGCACGAGCTAGATTACAGGGCACAGGAGTCCAAGTCAACTAAAGGATCACCCAAAGATGCCAAATAAAGAATGACATCATCTATTCTGTTAAAGGCTACACTAATGCTATTTGGTTTCACTACCATATACCATACACAGTGTGGTTTCCGTGATCCCCAAAGAACCAGTATGTCATTCCATTTTTCTTTTCTTTCCTCCAAACTACCAGCTAACGTCCTGGAGGGCGACTCCATGGATCAGGATGTTGAGAGCCCTGTGGCCATCCACCAGCCAAAGTTGCCTAAGCAGGCCAGGGACGACCTGCCAAGACACATCAGCCGAGACCGGACCAAAAGGAAAATCCAGAGGTACGTGCGGAAAGATGGAAAATGCAATGTCCATCACGGCAATGTGAGGGAGACCTACCGCTACCTGACGGATATCTTCACCACCTTAGTAGATCTCAAGTGGAGATTCAATCTGTTGATTTTCGTCATGGTTTACACAGTGACATGGCTCTTTTTTGGGATGATCTGGTGGCTAATTGCATACATCCGAGGAGATATGGACCACATAGAGGACCCCTCGTGGACTCCCTGTGTCACCAACCTCAATGGGTTCGTCTCTGCTTTTTTATTCTCAATAGAGACAGAAACCACCATCGGTTATGGCTACCGAGTCATCACGGACAAGTGCCCAGAGGGAATTATTCTCCTCTTAATCCAATCCGTGCTGGGGTCCATTGTCAATGCATTCATGGTGGGATGCATGTTTGTAAAAATATCGCAACCCAAGAAGAGGGCAGAGACCTTGGTTTTTTCCACCCATGCAGTGATCTCCATGCGGGATGGGAAACTGTGCCTGATGTTCCGAGTAGGGGATCTCAGGAATTCCCACATTGTGGAGGCTTCCATCCGAGCCAAGTTGATCAAGTCCAAACAGACCTCAGAGGGTGAGTTCATCCCCTTGAACCAAACAGATATCAATGTAGGGTATTACACCGGGGATGACCGTCTGTTTCTGGTATCACCACTCATCATCAGCCACGAAATTAACCAACAGAGTCCTTTCTGGGAGATCTCCAAAGCCCAGCTGCCCAAAGAGGAACTGGAAATTGTTGTCATCCTAGAAGGAATGGTGGAAGCTACAGGTAAGGTGTGCTCCATCCTGGGGTATTTGTGGATCAAGGCTCATTTTAAACTGGACCTGACATACTTATTTATGACAAAATATGAAAAATTGAATTTCACTTGCTATTGACTCCATCCCCTTGTTTCATGAGAGAATATGCCTGTGTGTCCTATAACCTTAGCATACCCACCAAGAAGTCTACCCATTTAACTTTTTAAAAGCCTTTGGAAAATAAACCAGTAAACAACTTTTCAAAGGCACCACTTGCTGTATTTTAAATTTCCAAATATTTCCTTAAATTAAAATCTTATCTGTCTCCAAAGCATTTTTTAGGCGGCTCTAAAACATTGGTTAATTTAAATACTTGAGGTTATTTATTGGCAAGCCCGAGGAAAAAGTTAAGCCTTTCCAAGGAAACCTGACAAATTGCTTTAATAACAATGCAAGTTCACCCCTTCTTTGGAAGCCATTTGCAAGACTCATAGCACTGGCTCTTCTTTTATATCAGGTGCGGGTAAGGTGTCTTTCCACATACTCTACCTGCTGAGCCCCCAGTTGACCTAATATTGCAGACCCAGTAAATAATTTTAGCAGGAAAGGAAAAAAATTGAAGATCCATTCATCACAATCCTATCGACCCTTCTGCTGTTGATGGCTTATCATTGGTGTGTTCTCGGGAAAATGATCTGTCCTCAAAATAGAGAAACGGTCTGGTTTTTTTTTTTTTTTTTGAGGTCTTGACTCATAACCCAACTTTACATGTGTTATACATCCCAACAGCAAAGCAGGTCCTGCCCATATTAGTTGGTAACATTCTATAAAATACAGCCCTACATTCTGACTTAAGTTAAGAACATTGACCCCCCACACACAGGAAAAGTATAAATTGGAACCCAAATTCATTATTTTCTTTCCTGTTCTTTGGAGTTACCAATATTAGACTTAAAATCCTCTTTCGAGGTGCAATCTTCCCTTCTGTGCTTTGAAGTCTACAACCTGACGCCGGAGGTTCATCTATTTAATCTGAAATGCACAGCCAACAGCCTGGCCCCAGATGCTTCTTCAACCCATATCCTGATCTCGGTCATCCCATGAAAGTTGCTGGTCCCATGTTTCCACTTCCCTGTACCTAACAGGTGAAGTCATAACCTCTAACCAACTTCTCTTCGAGTGGTGGCAATTTTTGCAGTAGGTTTTATTAAATGCAGCAAACAATGAAAATGTGAGTAGAAGTCTTCGTATGGAGCTCAGTGATTGGCATGTGCTCCTTCCCATAAAACAAAAGGAACATGGACCTGATTTGAAACGGCTTCAAAGGATAACAAAATAATGTATGAAATACTAAGAGCTGCTCGGGTGAACAGGGCTGTCAGTACCCAGAGCCTGACTTTGCAATGACTGTGTAGGGGGTGGAGGAAGAAGAGTGAGGAGAAAAGAGGGGAGGAAAGAGGAGAGGAAACAGTCCAAACCGGGAGCTCTGTCTTTTTCTCACAGACCAGAAACTTCTCCCACCTTGGTGGGAGCGCAGGGACTCTGGATCCCCCTAGTGGTGGCCACGGTGGTACAGCCCTGGCAGCATAAACTGACCACTCATTGATGCGGTTTTAATATTAGATTTCTCACTATCAACTGTCTCAGTAGGACATGAGGGAGGCGAGCCGACAAACATTCTTAGCATTGTATCTCTGAGTTCAAGGTGCGAAAGCCACTGGAGATGTACCCTCTGGTTATTGGTGTTAATCTGAGCTTCAAATTGCACGAGCTGAGCTTCGTGTTCCCTCAAACCAAAGTCCAGTCTCAAAAAATAAATGAATCCAGAATAAGCAAATTATCTTTGTAATGTCCCTGAGCTAGAATTCTCCTTGGGGCAGACCCTATCTTTCTGTGGACAGCTTGTTATGAGTGAGGCTTTCTAAAGGGAGGAACATTGCTTTCTTGGTAATTAACGGTGATACCTGCCTCTGAGCACCCAGCAGACTTTCTTACTGCTTTCTTAGAGAAAACTTGGGAGTTTCCAGCAAAAAAAAAAGAATCAAAAGACCCCTGATTCTGGGGGAAAGGCAACTACTATTCATTTTTCTCAAAAAGAAATAGTTTTCTAATTTCTGTTAAGTGGAGGGAAGAGTGTTCTAGAAAGTTCTGCATTTGTCTGGAAGCTGCATATATCTTGATCTTTTCCTGATGGGATTCATACAGTTCAGTAATTCTCAGTACATCTGATCTCTTAAATTTCGGAGGGATGCTTTTTCTTTGTGAATGAAGAGCACAAATGGGATTTATAGGTACTAAACAGGCCCTCGAGGGATGAAGGAGGGGAATGTTTCAAGGAGTCAAAGCCACAGGAAGAAAATAAACGTGGGCCGAATGCACATCAAGGAAAACAAATTCACAAGGATCTAATTATTCGTTGTAGGGCTAGATGGGAAACCAGAAGCCTTGAAAGCAACAAGCTGACACGTCCATTTTATTCATTCCTTTCAAAAATGTCTTAGTTGACCTTAAACCACTCTCAGTGATCCCAATTAGCAGGCATCATCCAGAGATGAGCCCCACACTGCAACCCCACCACAGTGCTCTCTTCCTGTCATATATGTTTTGATTACACAGTGATCCCAATATGGTGTTTTGTGGAAATCTGAGCTATCCTGCAGGAAGCTGATGATCCACCGGGGTCCTTCTGCTGAGTACCTGGGCCTAGTTCAGGCCAGTTGGTGTTCCATTGACGCGTTATATTTTCATGCCACGTGCAGCAAGTGTGCTTTGTCACAATCACTTAGAGTGGCACTTAGAGGCACATTTTTAGGAAATGAAAGTAAGCTCACTGAAGGCAGGAGGGAGTCTTGCCCAACTCTGGTGCCCTGCGGGTCCCGGTCACGGTCCTCCATTTGATAAAAGCCAGACTTAACACCCATGAAAGACAGACCCACATCCTTGGTGGATGGCTTCAGCCTGGTCCAGCTCAGAGTCAGAGGGATATGCACGGTGACCTCTCAAGAACCTTTCAGTCATGTGATTCTATTTTTGAAAACGAATCAAACCCTGGAAAATTCTGACACGAGCCACCCAGACATCTGGGAACTGGCCGTGTCTCATCCTGCGAATATATTTTTAAAGGGGGCCCTTTATGTTCCTGACACATGGGCAATTTTGAGATAGTGATGTTTACAGAAGGGTTCACAGCTACGTAAACAAACATGCTCAGCAGCTGTGGCAAATGTGCTTTAAAATAGTAAAGCATTCATATAGACTGTTATTTATAGAGGACAAATTGGCCTGGAGGCTAGATGACAGCTACACAGAGCTGGGCCCGTTGCCAGCCAGCTCCTCACTATAGCCTTTCTGATTGATGAACTTCCATATTTACCCCCAACGATTATGCAACTATGACAAGCAGCCCTTTCCAACACCTCTGCAAATGTGCCTGGGTAGTTAGGATGAACCCCCATTAAGCTTTTTTTTTTTACATTTTTTATTATGAAAATCAAAAAATTTATATAAGAGTAGACCAAATAGTATAATTAACTCCCATGTAGCCATCATTCAATTTCTAGAATTGTCGATTCACAGCCAAACTTGTTCAATCTCTACCACGACTCACTAACCGCCCCCGGCATCAGATCGTTTTATCTACACATCTTTCCATGTGTGTTTCTAAAAGGCAAGGACTCCAAAACATAACTAGAACACTGCTGTGGCACCTAAAATACTTAGTGATCATTCCCTAAGATCCAATATCTAGATGTTCCAACTTCTAGTTGTCTCACACATGTCTTTTCTTATTGTTTTCGAATCTGCTGGTTTGAATCAGGATCCAGATGAGGCTCACATGCTGTGATGGGTGGGGGGGGTGGATCGAGCCTCTTCATCTATGAGCTCCACCTCCATCCCTGGGGGGTGTTGTTCCTTCAACGTTATCTCAAAGAAGAGAACTTCTGGAAAATTTAAACACTGCAAGAAAACTAGGGAAAATGGAGGATGGGAGGATATCAGTCAGATATAGTAACACTACAGATGAGGAAAAAGGGCTGACAGCCCAGCAGTGGGTATCTGTGGGTTACCGAGGACGAGGGGAGTGTACATCAGAAGCCCAGGAAGGCAAACCAGAAGTGGGTGTGACAAACCAGAAGCCAGAAAGGGAAGCAGCAGAGGGTGAATGAGAAGGAGTTTCCATCCTTCACTACAGGAAAACTCAGTTCTGTCTCCAGAGAAACGTGCATGTGGAGAGGGGTTTTGTCACCAAAAATCACACCACAGATCATAGGAGTTTTGAGTTGGAAGGCATCGTCACCCAGCTCTTACTTTACAGATGAGGAAATGGAGGCTTACACAAGAGTCGCTAGGGAGACTAGGGACCTGGCTAAGGTCAAATGGCCTCTGGGAGAGTAAGAATTTGAAACCCAAGATCACTGATGTTTGCAGCCTCCAGGTCCAGTGGTCTTTGCATGGTGAATGCTGTTGGTTTGTGAGGTACTATGCTGAACGAACTAAGTCCATCAGAGAAAGACAATTATCATATGGTTTCACTTATATGTGGAATATAAGAAACAGCACAGAAGATCATAGGGGAAGGATGGGGAAACCTGAATGGGAAAACATCAGAGAAAGAAAAAAACCACGAGAGACTCTTAACTCTAGGAAACAAACAGAGGGTCGCTGGAGGGGAGGGGGCAGCAAGATGGGGGTGATGGGCGTGAAGGAGCACATTCTGTGAGGATCACTGGGTCTTACACAAACTGATAAATTATTGAACACCATGTCTGAGACTAATGATGTACTATATGTTGGCTAATTGAATTTGACTTTTGTAAAAAAAAAAAAAAAAGAAGAAGAATTCAATAGAGAAATACACCCAAAGAAAATGAGTGTTTAGGGTAGAAACAGGCTGATGTCTCTTTTCCCCTACTAGTAGATCCTCTTTTTCTTTAAGGTGTCTCCGTTGGTCTCCAATGTTGCTGGTTCATTTTAAAACTCTCTATGTATTCACATGAATTTTTAATAGCCATATATTAAAATGAAATG